TGGTCACTGGTCATCACCGGATCTACTCACACTTCGCCTGGTGCTTGAGTGCAGTTGGGATTAACTTTAGAACCTCCTTGAATGTGTGGTGGGGGGGGGGGGGGGGTCTCCAGGGTTGAGAAGTGTAATCTCAGGTACTTCTCTTAGAACTTTAGCAAAATGGCATTTGTCTGCATTGGCTGGCCCAGTCACACCTACCTCCTGATTAAGAGCATTAAAATCCCAGGTAATAATTGTATCATGCACCTCCATGGCAAGCACGTCCTCTGCTAGTTTACATCTAGGGGCTTGTAGACGTTATATACGAGGAGCTCGATATTAGCCATATTCACCGTTACTGCTAATACCTCTACTCATTCCCACACGAAACTGGGTCTATTTTCTTCCTTGGTATGGTGTTAATCTACGAGGATCATTAACCCTTCGTCTCCCCTGTTCATACGGTATAATATATTGGTGATATCCAGCTAATCTGAAGGATTTCGTGGCTGGGTAGACAGTTTCTTGTAGAACTATTACATCTGCTTTGTACCGATTGCAGCATCCTGAAGAATGGGTTTTTATTTCCAAGACGTTTGTTCCAATAAAGAATTCGTAATGAACAGACAACTGTTTCTGTTGGTGTGCCTTTCCTAGTAGAACTCCTCTTCGGAATCTACCACCATATTCTCCACTTCGCTAGCAGTGTCGCTGCAAATCGGACTGAATTGATTGTTTATATCCGTCTCCTGTATTGTCAAGATACCGTTGATCTTTATTCGCCACTGTTTCCTGCAGTGTATTTTGTGGATCTTTATGGTCTGATGTGACTATCCGACTGTTATTGGTAGTCTATGTCCATGTGTTTGTCCTCTTGTACTACCTCTTGTCTTGTACTGTTTCTTGTGTAACTGTGGTCTACTGCACGATCTTCTCCATTATTGCACAAGTGATTGCTTGAGTCTTTTGTTGAGAGGTATTTTGCGTCATCTGTAAGCAATTGGTAATGGTCATGACCATGATCTACAATGTTTTTCAGCTGGGCCTCCGTAAAACTGTAAATCTTTTATAGACTGAAAATTATTGTATTTTGTTTCCATGTTGTATTTCTGCAGTGGTTTTGTGCATTTTCTGATTTGGAGTTGTTTGAGTTGATGAATTGTGTTCTATGAGCGTTGGTTTCTGTTGTGGCTGTGCACGAGTGTTCGAGACGTTAATGTTGGTGTATGTACTGCTGGTCTGATTATCCTGACCTAAGCTTCCTGCACCTTTCCGTGTGGTAGTTTTCCCAAGCATAATGTTTCCTCCTCAACTTGGACATTTGGCTGTTGTGGTCTGGATTACCTTGTGCTTGGCTGTACAGTTTTTGGTTGGATGCCTCAGGCTGCACATCTCTCCTGCCCTGTGCAGCGTGTTTGATGGTGGCCGTATTTCTGACACCTGAAGCAGCGCGGGGGTTCCAGGACCATGTCAATACATTCCCTAATTTCCAAGAATGAATATTTCTGGATTATGTCCCATAACAGTCACCGGAACCCGACGTGTCACAGCTTTGCATTCAAGATTTCCCTGTGTTCTAGGATTGGATCCAGTGGAAAGTCGACTGGATATTCCAACAGCACGACGTTTGTGTGTTTTTTGAAGGGTCCAGCTTTTCGAAGCATTCAGGTTTTCCTTGCAGTTATGTTACCGTGTCTCGGTAATTTGCAGTCTTTTGGTCTGGTTGTGTCATTTAACTTTTTTGGTCTGGTTTGTCTCATTTTTTATTAATAATAAATTTCTCCTTTAACGTTGACCGTGATGGAATTTTTGAGCTCTGGTTGGCGCTTTTCCATTGCCGTTACTATGCCTTATGCTGTAGGAAAGTTGTCTGAATTATGGGTTTTGGAATTTTGCAATTCTAAGTCTGCAGTTTGGAAAGATGTGCAGAGTCTGACACTGGCTGGTGTGTGACTGGTGCTGTTCTCTCTAGGTACATTATGTCTGGATACTTGCTGATCGAAGTACCGGGAGTAGCCTCGATAGCAGTTTTCTTCTCTACTTGCTCTACCTCGGTGAACTGTCCCTCGTTGTCTGAAAACTGCTTCCATTTCCTCTTTATCCTCGACTTCCTGTTGACGTCTCTTAGTAGTGAGGGCCGATTCACATTCCTACCTAATAACCGAGACACTCCTAAGGTCTGAATAAATTTATTTCCCTTCAACGGAGGTCGTTAAATGACTTTCCCAGGTGGAATCTGGGATACCTAAAACCTAGTTTAGCAGTTTGGTCTACTTTTCACTGTTATGCTCAGTACACCTTTAAAGGCGTGTCATGGTGGCACTGCTCACAGGGTATCGACCTGCTCAGTGATACGGCTCTCACACGAAAATAGACCATTGTGAGCCGGGTGACCCGACCACTGGTAATAGTGCGTGCAAAACTAGCCACGTGTACAACAGATAGTCGGCAACGGTATTTATCCAAGAATTGCATTAGAAATCTGCAACGTTACTTCCAAACAATATTGCAGCACGCACTCCTGGCGGTCAGACACAGGAATACAGTCAACATGTTACATCAACAGCTTTGAATCTGGGTATTGATGGGTTGTTCCTCACAAAACGGCGAGGATTTGAGCTGATAGTTGTTCAGAATCTGAAGTTTTCCAGAGAACAAACCCGTGTGCGGCCTGCTGTACCAGTGGCGCCGGCGGCGAGTCTCATGGCTGGTGATCGGCTCATCCTAGTAATGTAGGTCATTATGAGCTTTCTCCACAGTCTATAGTTCTTAGTTACGACTACCTCTCGCCTGATGCTTCACTACTCGTAATTTTATTATATCTTCGTTCAATTCTTAATGGATAGATCAAGCCATTATGTAATATTTTATTAGTCTTGGCCTTTACACAGATAAACATGTTTGATCCCTCCCAATTATTAAAGATTCTAGAACACACTCCTGGCCGCACGCACTCCTGGAGGACACACACATGCAGTCAACATGTAACATCAACAGCTATGGAAATCCCTTTCCTCGTATCACTGGAGATTGCCGCGAACCCAGAATGTTTCGTCTGAGAATATTTAATACGAGAACATTAAGTCCAACAGATGCTATGCATGGATTGTTTACAAGAGTAGCGAGGGCAGCCAAGTACCATATTCTTATATATGTCCCCAACTGTGCACGCCACCAACAATCTCTAGCAGCTTCAAGCCTCAGTACTACAGGTACAAACGTTACCATCATCCTCCTGGTGGTTCCTGAACCTCGGGCAGCTGTAAGTGCTTCAGTGGCCACCCATCTGTGGTCACAGCCTGTAAGTGCTTGAAATAGTGGCCACCCATGGATGTGGTCACAGTCAGCATCATTTCAAAAACTTATTATTTGTGAATTGTCTTCCATTGACTTGTTCATGCATCAAAGTCCACATCTATTTGCCTGTCAGTGCCGGAACAGGTGAAGGTCGAGTCTTTGAGACGAAGATTACCTGACCCATCCCTGGCGTGTCCTACACTGGTTAGGACACGCATACTGATACACAGAGCAATCACGCTAACGTGATGTATGAAAGAGAATAAGTAGCCGTGATGAGGATTCTAACCTATGCGCTGGGCATTTCCAGGTGCACACACAATACAACCAGACCATGATATGATCAAATGACTGCAATCTTGGGTTCTACTCCGTGGAAGCCCCTGGAACCCCCGATAGATCAGTTGAATCTCAGGATGCAATCTTTTTACCATGTAGTGGCCTGGTTGTCTGGGGCGTGTGCCTGGGAACGCCCAGCTCATAAGTTGCCTGTGCACGAGTTTTTTTTTTTAAGTTGTTAGACAAAGATTTTAATCGAGTTAAAACACGCATTGTAATATTAATTCTCACAAATTCAAATGTTCGTTTCTACATCGGAGATTTATGATTTAACGCTCAGTATAATTGACACTAGATTATCCTTAACTCTGTATTAACATTTAAAAATATACATACAATATATTTTTTCTCAACCTATTCCAACATTATTATAAGCAGCATAATACATGGGTGCTTAATACACCGGATGACTAACACATCACAATTAAGTTAGGTAAGTTAGGTTGGGTTGCATCATTAATGTATGATTCATAACGCTAGTTAAAAAGAAGAAAAACAGTGAAGCTAGCATTATGGGTCACTTAGATGGAGGACATAAAAGAATTGCAACCGGGAAATCATCCTGATTTACCGACGCATCCTGCAGTCTCTCAGAGACACACCAGGGTTTTACACAACTCCCCCCATGCACTCGAGCTATGTCAATAGGCTGTTCTACCTCTTCGCCCTTACTTCATTACACACACAAGTCACAATAGCGTGATGCATCAAATGAACAAATCCACAAGGAATTGCATAAAACCTTGGTTTGTGTCTCGGACTGCAGGATCCGTCGGTAAATCTGGATGATTTCCCGGTTGCAATTCTTTTACCATGTCGTATCTCAGTCTATTAAGGCAGCGTCTGGAATCCTCTCGGACGTAGGTTAGAATCCTCGTCACGACCCTTGTGGATTTGTTCTCTAGAATCTCTTGTATGGATACCATCTCACAAATATAGCCACCACAATGACTGATAATGCAGCCAAATTAGCGGCCTTGGTAATCCCATCTCTGCTGTCATGACTATATTGTTCCCAGCACACTGGTGTAATAGAGAAATTACCGACTCCCAACGGTCTGAAATCACCAATATAAAAACCTGTGATTTGTTTAGATTCGAAACCTGTGTTTATGGGCAGCACAAAACGACCACCAGATTGACAAAATCTGAGTAAGGCCCAACCGACCTGCACAATACGTTCTTAACATACTGAGAAGCTGCTCGTTAACCACACAATATATCAAGGCAACACGTGTCAGCAGACTCTGACAAAGCCATTGACAGACTGGCTTGACTATTTGAAAATAAAAATTATGAATGACTTTCCACTTCCGACAAAATGTTTCTTTGACAACCACAACATAAAGGATTCCTCCAGCAACACACTGACTACTTTGACCGTAATGCTGGAGTGCCACAAGGCTGTGTACTGGCGCCAACATTACACCACACACTGCAGAGGGAAGGAAGGGGAGGAGTGGCGGAGTGGCGGCGGCCCGGCTGGTGGACGAGTGGCGGCGGCCCGGCTGGTGGACGAGTGGCGGCGGCCCGGCTGGTGGACGAGTGGCGGCGGCCCGGCTGGTGGACGAGTGGCGGCGGCCCGGCTGGTGAGTGGCGGCGGCCCGGCTGGTGGACGAGTGGCGGCGGCCCGGCTGGTGGACGAGTGGCGGCGGCCCGGCTGGTGGACGAGTGGCGGCGGCCCGGCTGGTGGACGAGTGGCGGCGGCCCGGCTGGTGGACGAGTGGCGGCGGCCCGGCTGGTGGACGAGTGGCGGCGGCCCGGCTGGTGGACGAGTGGCGGCGGCCCGGCTGGTGGACGAGTGGCGGCGGCCCGGCTGGTGGACGAGTGGCGGCGGCCCGGCTGGTGGACGAGTGGCGGCGGCCCGGCTGGTGGACGAGTGGCGGCGGCCCGGCTGGTGGACGAGTGGCGGCGGCCCGGCTGGTGGACGAGTGGCGGCGGCCCGGCTGGTGGACGAGTGGCGGCGGCCCGGCTGGTGGACGAGTGGCGGCGGCCCGGCTGGTGGACGAGTGGCGGCGGCCCGGCTGGTGGACGAGTGGCGGCGGCCCGGCTGGTGGACGAGTGGCGGCGGCCCGGCTGGTGGACGGAGTGGCGGCGGCCCGGCTGGTGGACGAGTGGCGGCGGCCCGGCTGGTGGACGAGTGGCGGCGGCCCGGCTGGTGGACGAGTGGCGGCGGCCCGGCTGGTGGACGAGTGGCGGCGGCTGGTGGACGAGTGGCGGCGGCCCGGCTGGTGGACGAGTGGCGGCGGCCCGGCTGGTGGACGAGTGGACGGCGGCCCGGCTGGTGGACGAGTGGCCGGCCGGCTGGTGGACGAGTGGCGGCGGCCCGGCTGGTGGACGAGTGGCGGCGGCCCGGCTGGTGGACGAGTGGCGGCGGCCCGGCTGGTGGACGAGTGGCGGCGGCCCGGCTGGTGGACGAGTGGCGGCGGCCCGGCTGGTGGACGAGTGGCGGCGGCCCGGCTGGTGGACGAGTGGCGGCGGCCCGGCTGGTGGACGAGTGGCGGCGGCCCGGCTGGTGGACGAGTGGCGGCGGCCCGGCTGGTGGACGAGTGGCGGCGGCCCGGCTGGTGGACGAGTGGCGGCGGCCCGGCTGGTGGACGAGTGGCGGCGGCCCGGCTGGTGGACGAGTGGCGGCGGCCCGGCTGGTGGGCCCGAGTGGCGGCGGCCCGGCTGGTGGACGAGTGGCGGCGGCCCGGCTGGTGGACGAGTGGCGGCGGCCCGGCTGGTGGACGAGTGGCGGCGGCCCGGCTGGTGGACGAGTGGCGGCGGCCCGGCTGGTGGACGAGTGGCGAGTGGTGGCGGCCCGGCTGGTGGACGAGTGGCGGCGGCCCGGCTGGTGGACGAGTGGCGGCGGCCCGGCTGGTGGACGAGTGGCGGCGGCCCGGCTGGTGGACGAGTGGCGGCGGCCGGCTGGTGGACGAGTGGCGGCGGCCCGGCTGGTGGACGAGTGGCGGCGGCCGGCTGGTGGACGAGTGGCGGCGGCCCGGCTGGTGGACGAGTGGCGGCGGCCCGGCTGGTGGACGAGTGGCGGCGGCCCGGCTGGTGGACGAGTGGCGGCGGCCCGGCTGGTGGACGAGTGGCGGCGGCCCGGCTGGTGGACGAGTGGCGGCGGCCCGGCTGGTGGACGAGTGGCGGCGGCCCGGCTGGTGGACGAGTGGCGGCGGCCCGGCTGGTGGACGAGTGGCGGCGGCCCGGCTGGTGGACGAGTGGCGGCGGCCCGGCTGGTGGACGAGTGGACGAGTGGCGGCGGCCCGGCTGGTGGACGAGTGGCGGCGGCCCGGTGGTGGACGAGTGGCGGCGGCCCTGCTGGTGGAGGAGTGGCGGCGGCCCTGCTGGTGGAGGAGTGGCGGCGGCCCTGCTGGTGGAGGAGTGGCGGCGGCCCTGCTGGTGGAGGAGTGGCGGCGGCCCTGCTGGTGGAGGAGTGGCGGCGGCCCTGCTGGTGGAGGAGTGGCGGCGGCCCGGCTGGTGGAGGAGTGGCGGTCCTGCTGATGGAGGAGTGGCGGCGGCCCTGCTGATGGAGGAGTGGCGGCGGCCCTGCTGATGGAGGAGTGGCGGCGGCCCTGCTGATGGAGGAGTGGCGGTCCTGCTGATGGAGGAGTGGCGGCCTTGCTGTTGAAGGACTAGAGTTACGAGGAGATGGATATCCCGGGCTGTGAGGAGTTCAGAGACTACATAACAGGCACCATGACGATGGGAGGACCATATATAGTAGCAGATATATATAACCCTCCTGTAAATGACAATGACAGGCAAGATTATGACCAACAGCAGTACCTAGTATAACAAAGGGAAGCCTCTGTCGCCTGTTAGAAATCTATCCCTACTTCTAATCGTGGGGGACTCCAACCATGGAAAGTTACGAGAACCGTTTGGGGGCACAGAACGAGCTAAACTACTGGACATGGTAACAAGAAACCTTTTAAGTCACCATGTAAGATGACCCACAAGACTAGAGGTAATCATGAACCAGCTTGACTTTACCTAGAATTCATTGAACGAGTTAATAAAAATAAGTAAAATATACGGGAAAATAACATTTGAAACCCCATGGGAATGAGTGATCACTGTATATTGACGTTCGAATATAAAGTGAAAGTATGGATAACTGGGACCAGGACACTAAAGCCTGGTATAGCAAAAGTAAAATTACAAGGAAACAAAAGTTAAATTATAAATACCATAGGTAGCAAAGCTCAAGAAGAAAGACTTCATAAAGGTGATTGACTACATCACCCAGAAGAGTAAGGAGGTGGCACAAGTTTGTCCTGGTATGAGGGAATGGAATTTCACAACTTAAGTGATGCGAGTGTGTATGACCAGATGTATATCAGCATGAAATCTCCTGAGTGCACATTCAGCAATGCACTCTCCTGTATCCTCTGGTCTGGGACCAAGGTCTGCCTTGCTGGGTATCTATGGGCAGCCCTCTGGCTGAGCTGACCAAGAATATAGTAAGAGTTGCTGCATTCCCAACTCACCCGTGGAGATTATACCCATCAGTGGAACTCGGTGGTTCCATTCATAGGGAAAGAATGTAGAGGGTTAGTTTCGTGCTCCCAGTCCTGAAGGGTTCACTCACGTTAAGGCAGCTCTTCTAACCTTCTTTGTTCATATTCCATGACATGAAGCCTCGACAGAACATACTTGTGTTAAGAATTGTCATTGGTTTAGGAATTTGTCTGCTATTTGTCTTTTCGGTAACAGGATCATTGGACAAAGGGAAAGTAGACCAAATGGTCTAACCGGTATCGTGCAGCACGAACCGAACTGAAAACCAATCAATGACATCAACTTAGAGAAAATCTGAAGCCAGGGAGTCTTCTAATCTTGTCTGTATGTGATAATGATAGAACTAGTATTCTGAGCAGACCTAGATAAATTATGGACATTGACTAAGAATTTCAAAGAATACCCAAGCTGAAGATTCTTCCAGAAGGCACCCAGGATACAGCAGATATGGTATATTTGTCGAATGAAAGAATAAAGCGCAATTTAAAAAAAAAATGGTGATGGCAAACAGACCGGAGACAACGACAGGCCCAGACCAAGAGGCTAAGGAGGAGACGCCCAGTCACCAAGACCAGTTCCACAACAAAGTGGCTACAGCTACAACTGATCAAGGAATGACCTGCGGGTATTTGATAACAGTGGCTGTCCCCCCCTAGAGCAGGCTGTGGTCCTCATCATAAAATAGGAACCAGGTCAACCGATTCAACACAATGAGACAACCCAAGGAACGACTGCCAAGTGTAACATTGACCTCGTAGAGGAGCATTAGAGTTTTATGACTGACACTACTGACAAAGGAATTAGAGTCGAGACCAGAGCTACAGAAGAGACGACGACTACGGGTACAACGAAGGAAGAATATTGCAACAACAGCAAAAAGGGGTTAAGTCCGATACCAAAGATTTAGTTCCTTCGAAGATTCTCTGTTGTAAAAGTTATTACCTGGTTGGTCTGTGTGATAAGCAATAAAAATCTAAATATTTTGATATATTAATATACTGTGTATATTTAGGCATGGGTTAGGTTAAGTGTGTAGGTTCTGATGGCAATTATTTGTATTTGTAGTACGTGGGTGAAGCATTTTTCAACTTCGTGGTTCGAACAAATGTCAACAGTGAATCGCTGATCGAGAAATATTTGAACGTCATCAGTTGTGGCAGCCTGTCCAATAAACAAAGGCTAAAGTACATTCCATTCATCCGCCAAACCCCATTTATTATTGAAAACGGTTTACACTAAACGGATGACGTTCGAACACCTTTGGAACAAGAAGCTGACGACTTTTGTTCAAACCACAACGCTGTAAATGCTTCACCCCACGTACTACAAATACTTGCCAACAAAATCTAAACACCTAACCTAACCAATGCATAAATATCCACAATATGCTTATATTAATTTTTATTTGACAAGTTCTGTTTTAAATTAACAGCATATTAAAATAGACAAATGCGTCTTTGGGGGTTGACCGCTGGATGGAATGGACTAGGTCTGAGGACGGGTTGGTTGTGGGACATGCGATACAAAACGTTTCATTTATAAACATGGGGGTTTGGCAGGTGCATGGTATGGACTTTATCCTTTGTTTATGAGGTCGACCTGTTACACACTACTCAATAAATCGTGCTCTAACATTACTCTAAAAGTGCTTCGCTGACGACCTCTGCTCGAATCCCAAAGTTTATAACTTTCACCCGATGTAGCTCTAATACAAATAATGGCCAACAGGACCTTAACACCTAATCTAACCTACCCCCTAAGTTTACATTGAAATTATAAAATTAACTTTGATGAAGATAATACATTTTTTAATACACGATGAAACTGATAAATGCATTGGATTGGGTGGGGGGAGTATTCGTTTGCCTTGTTCGGGTAGAATGTAGACACAGTAGTCGCTTCTGTATATATTTATTGACCGAGACAACAAGGTATACATCTGGCCTAGCCGAGGTCCTTCTACTCTGCGTCTGTGAGGATAACTGAGGCTGCTGGGAGCAATGGCTGGTGCTCCTCTGTCTGGCATGACGTCAGAGGCCTACTTGCCTGTGATTGGTTACATTTCAACTGACATAGAATTTGAGTATAACACCGCTCGGACACGCTACCAAGTCTACGTCCCTTGTCGACAAGCTCTGGCTAGCTATATAGTTACAATGATACTGAAAGGACCTCTGTGGCATTCAATAATGGCTTACATGTGAAATTTGCATAATAAAACATTGAAAGAAGATCAGGTGTGCGTAATACTAACAACTCGGCATATGCACCAAAAAAAAATTCATCATAATAGGTGAAAATTATGGTAACAATGCTTTGATTAAACCAGAGTATTAAGAACATGTGTATGTCTACTGATCAGATATGAACAATACACTCAAGGTATTGCCTAAACAAAATTATTAACATGGATCAATGGCATGTGCTTGAAAACCATACAAAATTATACAATTATTACATTAATGGAACAAAGTTCTGACCTAACAACCACAAATGAATTTCAAGATGGATAATGATTTTCTTTTTTTCTCTTTTTTTTTTTTCTCTGAAATATACAATATATTTACAAGACCAATGTACAATATATTTAATGTGCCATATATTTACAAGCTATATACAAGACCTGGATCAAGAAGACTAACATCTGCGTGATAGTCAGGATTCACTGGCCTCAATGAGGTTGCTAGAACAATAATGAACTCTTATGACAAGCACTGTAAAAAATACAAATGGTAGTAGACTTAACAATGGCATCTAATTTATAACAAAATAAAGTTGAGAAAAACTATACATTATATATAATGGTAATAATAAGACATGTGGTAGAAATACTGCAAATGAGTTTTTTTTTTTTCAAAACAGAATAACTGCAGAGTGCACTCAATTATAAATTCTGCGGATATCTACACCTAGCTCAACCAGAGCACTATACAACTCTGGCTCTGACTGAAGGTCCGGAACAGATGAAACTTCATATGACAAACTATCATCTTGAGAGATATCCTCGTTAACATCTAGCCAATGGACATGTGGTGAGTGCACGGTTGAAACGAGAGGTCTAGATCTAAGATTATAAGTGCTAGTATGGGGTTGCTGAATATCAAGTGGTCTGTCAACCACAGAAGGTGGTGTCTGAGTAGGAGTATCTGTCTGGGTAAGTTCATTGTCATCTTCCTCATCAGTCTCGTCAACAGTCATTTTAGCTAACTTCATGTGTTCTAAATGTTCATTTATATACTCTCCTGTTAACAAGTTCTTAAGTCTGTATTTGTTACCTTTAATAAGCTCGATTACCTTATATGGACCCAAAAATTTCTTAGGTAACTTATACATAGGACCAGACCTGTGTTGGTTAAGTATCATTACTACAGATCCAATAGTTATTTTACTGGGTTTAGCTTGTGCATTCCTTGCTAGGGTGAACTCGGCTGTAGCTTTGGACAGTTGTTCTCGTATTTTCTTGAATACTAATTGCATCTGTCTACGCTTCACTTGAACAAAATCATCTACATTATATAAGGGAGTAGGAGGTACGTTAATCAATTCATTAGGGAGGATCTTATCTGTACCATAAAGAATAGCGTGAGGTGTGTCACCTGTAGAAACATTAATTGAAGAATTTATAGCACACTGAATTAAGGGTATAAAATCATCGCAATTGTTATCAAAATTCAACGTGACTCAAGGCATCTAACACTTTCCTGTTAGTACGTTCAGCTAGTCCATTACTTGCCGGATGATAAGGCATGATGCTACATTTTTTGATGTTATATAAATCACACAAGCTAGTTAAAATACTATTACTGAATTCTGGACCATTATCTGAAAGGATTACTTTAGGCATACTATATCTACAAATTATTTGGTCATGGAATGCACTGGCTATAGTTTCTACTGTTTTGTTCGGGATAGGAACTAGTTCGCAAAACCGTGAAAAATTATCGACCATTACAAGCAAATGTTTGTTCCCTTTCTCTGTTTCCGCAAAATTTGTCAATAAATCCAT